ACGTCACACCTCTCTTTATCTCCCTGCACTGGCTGCCGGTTATGGTTCGCATCAAGTTCAAGACAATGATGCTTGCATATAGAACACCCAATTAGCCAAAATAGTTTGGCCCGATAATGGCCCAGATCCGGCAGGCCGGAAGAAATAACTCGGCCCGGCTGCGGTTGCCAGACTCGGCATGGACATGGGATGAATGACGCCCCACAATCGGCCCAAATAAAATGGCCCGAGTCCAGCTTCCAGAACTGCCGGCATTGGGCCACAATCACGCAGACAAGAATTGATACACTTAGCCAGTACTGCCCCGAGTCTGGGTACTGAAACTAAGCCAACACCACCGGCATTGGGCCACAATCACACCGACGAGAAATGAAACACTTAGCCAGTACTGGCCCGAGTCTGGGTACTGAAACTAAGCCAACACCACTGGCATTGGGCCACAATCACACCAACGAGAAATGAAACACTTAGCCAGTACTGGCCCGAGTCTGGGTACTGAAACTGGGCCAACACCACCGGCATTGGGCCACAATCACGCCAACTAAAATGAAACACTTAGCCAGTACTGGCCCGAGTCTGAGTACTGAAACTGAGCCGACACCACCAGCATTGGGCCACAATCCCACCGATGAGAAATGAAACACTTAGCCAGTACTGGCCTGAGTCTGGGTACTGAAACCGAGCCAACACCACTGGCATTGGGCCACAATCACACCAACCAAAATGAAACACTAAGCCATTACTGGCCCGAGTCTGGGTACTGAAACTGAGCCGACACTGGGTCACAATCACGCCGACACCTAGCCGGTACTAGTCTTGTTCGCTAAATTAAAAATATATATAAATAGTTACACTTACTTATACAGAATTACAACTTCTAAAATATGTATATTAAAGACTCCTTCCAGTTTTTATATAAAACCAGAGCTTTGAATAATTAGTTTTTCCACAAAATGACATTGTTACCTTAAAATCCTTAAGATGGCATCTACTTCCAACTAAAATAAAATGTATTTGTCCTTGTTAAGCCAACATGTACTAATGCATGTCAACTAAATATGTCACCTTTACAGTGATTAAGGGTTTGGCCCTTACACCATTTATTTTCATGGCATCCCCACCTACTACCCCATGAATTACCCCATAACATCCATATGTGCTTCACCCCCCCCAATATAAAAATGACACAATGAAAATATTAGAATTTATTTGAAAGGAAAAAAAAAACTCCAGGAGCTTCCTCAAGTAAGCCTACCCTAAAAGAGGGACAGACTGACAGAAAGAGAGACAAAAAGTGGAACAGACAATGACACATATGGTTATTCAGACAATCTCAGACTGATAACATGAATGGTGACTCTGGTAAATGTTAACATTTGGAACATACCTTTGGAAGAATTTGTTTGCATTCGGGCCCACTCTTTTCTTCCCCCATCTCTGTCCAAAGTGAGCAGCAGCCATCTTTTGATGACCTTTTCAATCTCTCCATCTGACGCACTGCCAGTACTTGCATTTCTTTGCACTAATTGAAAGGAAAAAAAAAAAAAAGAGAGAGAGATCAGTCGCAATGTTATAGACCAGTGGTGTCAAACTCAATTCCTGGAGGACCGCAGCTCTGCAGAGTTTAGCTCCAACTCACACCTGCTTGGAAGTTTCTAGTAATCCTGAAGACCTTGATTAGCTGGATCAGGTGTACTTGATTATTGTTGGAGCTAAACTCTAGCACGATGTCAGCAAACTCACAATTATAGCTTCATTATAAATAAACAATACTTTGATATTATATGTGTAGAATGGTTTATTAAAATGATATTATATGTTAGATTATCAAATGTTTACTCTCTATTTCAAACTTAAGTATAAAAGCAAGTTATCACATTTCTTAAAGCTAAGAATCACTCTTACTCTCCCAGTTATTTAAGACAGCTCGAGATGTCTCTCAAGTGGTTAGGAGTTGCCAGTAGGGGCTTGTGAAGAAATAACATAAGATATTATGTTTAAGTTTAAGTGTCACTGCTACATACTATTTACCACATTGTAAACAGAGACCCACCCCCAGCACTCAACCTAAACTGGTCCGGGTCTGCATGCCCATATCTCAACCAAAATCAGACCAACCCGTATGATCCGTAATCGGGCCGAATGTGGCTAAATGTGTCTCAGTGCAAATCGGGCCAGAGCTGCACATTCAAAGCCCAGCCAAATCTGGCAACCATTACTGGGCCAGAGCTGGCTCACTTTCTGTGAGCCGCTGCCAGAACACAGCCGAGTGAGCTGACACTCAGACGCAATTAGCCCGATTGCGCTGGCTATCTGGGCAGCCTCAGGCTCAGCACCCACCTACTTCCACTCACTCTTATGAATCTACATTCCCTCCAGAAGTCTGAGATCCACTAGTGAGCGACGCCTCGTGGTACCATCACAGAGAGGCAGAAAATCACTTATCAACCCCTATCCGGAATGCTGATTCCCTGACATTTTTCAAGCGACAGCTGAAAACTCACCTCTTTCATCACTCTCTGACTCTCTGAAAAAAGTTTTCTCTTTTCTTTCATCTTTCTCTGTCTAGCTTGTACTTATTTGAAACATGCTTGAAACTTGGTATGACGAGCACTTCTTGTGTCTATTTGCCTCTTTAAGATGAATCACTTGATGTATTCCCCAATTGTAAGTCGCTTTGGAGAAAAGCGTCTGCTAAATGAATAAATGTAAATGAATGATTGGGAAGCTGAGCTCTAGGGCCTCTTTAAAGGGAAGTCTAGCCCACATACAGTCACCCTGGCGAGCATGAAACGTCATTGATGACCAGTGTTGTGCTAGTTACTAAGAAATAGTAACTAGTTACAGTTACTAGTTACTTCATTCAAAAAGTAACTCAATTACTTTGTTGATTACTTACACCAAAAAGTAATGCATTACTGTTAAAAGTAACTTTTTAGTTACTTTTTTAAAGAACGTTCTTTAATGTTCCCATTAATGCCCTTTTATGCGTTATGGTCTATACAAACACAAAACTGACTTAAACAGAAAGTAATTTTTAAACACTATTTTATTTAAGTCAGACCAGCACAAACTGAATATATCACAAGGATTTCTGAAATAAATAACAAAACAAGCTGAATAATATATTCAGAATCAAAAACTAAAGTGGCTTCTGCATCATAAAAGCTGTTGTGTTGAGCCTTAAAAATGTTCCTTTCACAGCTTAAGTATGAAAACTATCAACAATGTACAACATAACACAAAACATTTTGAAATAAATAAATGAAAGCAATCTGAATTATTCAGAATCAATTTCGAGAAACTCAGCACCAAAAAACTGCTATTATTGACAACCATAAATGATATGCATTAAAAAAAACATAAAAAATATAAATGCTGTTTAAAAATGAAATCTATGAGCAATTTTCAACCTAACCACAAATTAAGAGTTGCATGTCACCAACTTATGTAAAGTAAGCTGTGTGTATTCACAGCCTGGTCTCATGTTTATACGTAGCTATGAATACGTAACATTTACAAGCACAAAACGTACACTTTTGTAAGTTTTTAATCATGCTAAAACGTACAATTTAGACGTATTTCAATGTTTAAAACGTACAAATCGCTACGTATTTTTAGCTAAAAAACGTAAAAATATTTACGTATCTTATATATCATTTAGATATTCATATCAATGCATTTCTATCATTTTATCAATAAGCAATTTATTTTTTTAGACCCCTTAACCTACCCCCAAACATAAACCTACCCATTTTATAGCGAATATAAAGGCTATACAACGCAAAATGACCGAAATACGCAGGAAAATAAAACTTTTAGTAACAATATAGCATTATATTATCCAGATAATTTTCCCGATCCACTCCGTGAAATCGTGAAGGCACGCGCATCATTCAAACACTCCTCACCAGAAATACGGCATGTCGCAATCTGTGACGAATGCAGGCGAGAGCCAATGAGCGGGCGATTATCCTGCCGTAAAACCTGTCGTTTGAAGCAGCAACATTTGAATTTGTAAAGAGCGTGTCAGTCAGCGCGGGCTTTGCTGCTCACGGTCACTGGACTCGCTGCTCGGGATGGAGGAGAAGATCGCCGAATAAAGGCTTGGATTTGGGTCTGTTCCTCACAGTCGTATGGATTCGGAAGATTTGGATTACAGCGCACTAATACAATTGTTTCATTTCGTAATTATGTTGCGTTTTTGGTGTATTTTATAGTTCTATTGTCAGTCACAGCATGTCAGAGAAAACGCCTTTTGTGGCCCATGGCAATCAAAGTAAACATTATATGACAAGTAAAGGTTAAACGAGTGCAGAAAAGTTATTTATTTTAAGGTTTAAAGTGAAGTCGTGTTTAACATCATGTAGGCATGTTCTTGGAAACGAGCTGGCAGCAGAAATCACAACAAAACGAAATGTTATAATTTCATAAGCAAACAATTTAATAATGCAATTGAAAACAAGTTAATTCATATGATAACTAAAAACTAATCAAATTAATGCCGCGATTTCAATATTCATAAGGATTCATTTTTAGGTGTCGTCAATACGTCAGTTTTGTACGTT